GAGCTAGCTGGAGAATGCTGGGAGTTGAAGTCCACAAGTCTTAAAGTTGCCAAGTTTGGGAACCACTGCTCTAAAGTGAGAGGACACAAATTTTTTCCTCTCCTCTGTTGGAAGGGGGTTCCATATTTCTGTTCTTGTTCCGTGGTCTTTCTCCCCGACACTCTTTGTGGCCATCTATCAACTATAAGAAGGCACTTTGGTGCCCTCCAAATATTTTGGACTACATGTCAATGGAGATTCAAAGTCATCCAGGTCATGGTTGTCCCAATGAATGAAGCTTTTTCAAGAGGCCACTGGACTGTCTTGTTTTGCTTTGAAGAAGTTTCGCTTCTCATCCCAGCTCTGAAGAAGCTTCTTGGATGCGAAGAGAAACGTCTTCAAAGAAAAACAAGACAGTCCCAGTTCCCTCTTGAAAAAGCACCTTTGAGATTTTGGACTACAGTTCTCCCTACTTTCCCCCAGGTGTGGGTAATGATAAGAGATCATGTGTGTTGCTCCCAAAACATCTAGAGAACCTCTAACCCTCTAGACAATCTACTTAGGTAAACAGATACAAGTTGTAGAGACAGACTTACCTTATCAGTTGAAGGAGGCCAGCAAGCTCTCAATGAATGAAGTCCCTTAGAAACAGAAGTTCTTTATATATGGTTCCAATAGTCATATATATATATAGATGATACAACATCTTGGGAATGGTAGGGAAATCCAAAGCCATGGACCTCACAGATGGCAGGCGTGACACCTGATCCATTACTTAACTATGGTTCAATGGATTGAGATTCATGCAATTAGGAGTCACAGCTGGATCGGTGAGGTAGATGACTAGGCATTGTCTCTCTCAGAAAGGCACATGACAGGCTTCCGGCGGGTTCCATCAAAGGAGGACGGTTGGGTGACAGCTCAGAGGAATCAAGGAAGACGCCGTGATCAATCAACGCCCCCATTTGGGATCGGTGGCATGCCAGGTTCTTCTGCAAAATAATTTATGGTACCCCATGCATGGTGACAAGAGGGTTACAAGTTGCAATTGTGTAGGATGTTAATGGCCACCTAAAAACGAGGAGGCTACTCTTGTGTGGGTTGTCTAGGGATATTCTCAGTCCTCCAGTTGTCCCAAAGGTGCTTTTTCAAGAGCCAACTGGACTTTCTTCTTTGAAGATGTTTCACTTCTCATCCAAGAAGCTTCCTTAGCTCGTGTGGGTTGTCTACAACATTAGCTAACCTGCAAACAATGAAGTCTGTCCGTGTAACCAGACAAAGGAACCTCAGTTGTGGTATCTGGTACCAAATGTCTCTTGCGCCTAGTTCGATACCCCCCTGTCAGGGCTGCTTCCCTCAGTAACTGTTGTGACTCAGCAGAAGTTTTGCTGCGAGTTGAGTCGGGATGCAGGAATAACAATGCAGCTGGGGCACGTTAGTGTGGTCTTCTGGAGAAAAAAGGACTGATGGTGCCACGCCCTGGTTGCAGAAGTCAACGTTCATCGTTCGTTCGTGGTTCATCGTTCA